ACAACACACACACACACACACACACACAACACACACACACACACACATACACAGCTTTCCTGCCCTTCAAAATATCTCATGAGACGTTCCATTCCCACTGAAGTATGAAACACTTAACATTATATAACTAAACCCATAATGAAACTCATTCTTCTCACCTAAAGGCCAAATAATGACTCCTTTACATGACATATTTTCTTTCATTTTAGTTTCCCATGGGCACTCAGACAGACACAGACAAAAGCTGAACATAAATGTCCATTCTGGGATAAATCCTCAAATGGGTGGTCTGGCATGTGTGAACATGTGTAAGACGGCACACGGTGCAGATGTGCACACGATGAGCCGGAAGCACAAACAGCACAGGTTTACAGCACTGAATAAAAGGAGGATCAGTGGAAAGCACATGCATACATCTTGTTCACATTTACTTCCTACTGACTTGACATTTATATAATTCTTAAAGAAACAGTTCACCCAAAAAATGAGGGTGAGTAAATGAGGACAGAATTTTCACTTTAGGGTGCCTAAAATTTAATTTGAATAAAGTTAATAAATCTATACTTTTTATATTACTATTTCACAACCTTACCCCTAACAGACACCTTTTGACACATTTAAATTGTTTAATATCTATTATATATAAAAATGTATAAACCTTCAGTACGATGAAGACAAATAGATTTGACCTGCTGTCTATGATAGAGTAAAATAACGACTTTGTATGCTGACATCAAATTAACAAGGGTCTAATACGAGTACTACCATTTGTTAGAATGACTGTAAGTTCAAATAAATCTTACGACTATTTGCCCACACATTCACAAGAACACGTGAGCACATTTTCTGACTGGCTGATACTTTGGATCATATCATGCCCACAGCCAATAAGAAATACTCAACATCTGATATCAGTTACTGCTGTCTTTCATTTCTATCGTTCCCACACACGCCCAAAATAATATTTAGATTGTGAACATGATACTTTACAGTTTGTGTGATCACATCACACCACATTCCACTCCCAACGTGTACACAGTTAACGGTCAAAGTTTAAAATCATGTCATCATGCAGTCAAGACCAAGTTTTTGGACCTTGCCATTTTGGCAAGATGTATTTTTATTTTATTTCTTTAAATATATCTCGTCTGCCTGTGACATTTGCATTATGAATATGTGAAATATTATTACAAATTACAATAACTGTATTCTATTTGAATATATTTTAAACTGTAATTTATTCCCGTGATCAAATCTGAATTTTCAGCATCATTACTCCAGTCTTCAGTGTCACATGATCCTTCAGAAATCATTATAATATACTGCTTTGGTGCTCAAGAAACATTTCTGATTATTATCAGTGTTGAATATGATTGTAGCGCATAATATTTTTGTTGAAACTGTGATAAAAAAAAATTTCCCAGGATTCTTTGATGACCAAATAGAAAGCTCCAATATAGAAAGTTCAAAACAACAGCAGTTTGTTTGTTTATTGTTTGTTTGTAACAAAGCCTTTACTGTCACTTGATCTTATGGACCCAAACCAAAGTGTGAGTCATACTTAATTACATTGGTAAATAAATAAATTGGTAAAGTATTAACATGTAAGTGAACCAAACTAAAATTGAGATGAACAGAGGTGAATCTTATAATATGAGCTCTTTTAACATTAGGATAAATTCTATAATCTCTTCAAGCCAAAAGAACAGTCAGAGAGGAACACAGTGAACCTCTCATATATCAAATACAGGTCAGACATCAGTGTGTGTGTTTGTGTGTAAAGGGAAGGTTCAAGTCTATTCAAGTTGCAGCTCGAACAGACCCAGTCATTCACTGGAAGGGAACAGACTTGTAGCACACACATATTTGCGAATACGTGAGTGTGTTCTCATCTCTTGAATTCAAAGATCATGTTCTTACATGACTACTGTTGCACCTGGGCTGCTGGAAGAGATCAAAGTCGTACAATTTCCGTAAAAGCAGGGGTTTACCTTCGCACAAACAAACAGACGCATGAGGGCATCCACAAAGTTTACACAAATACTGAATATATAAATCTCCAAATGTCACAAATGCATTCATAACAACACAGATATATTGTATCATGACCTCAAAACTGCCATCGTACAGCCTTAATTCATCATGACAGTAGTCTGCACAGATGCAGACACATGGGAGATGTGTTTTGTTTGGTGGGCTGGGTTTAACATTCATTGTTCCTTTGTGTGGCACGAGGTGGCCTGACAGTCCCACCCCTGAATTCAGACAGTCCTATTGGCCGATATCCCACACCTATTGGTACAACTTCTGCTCCTCTCTATTGGCTGAGGGTGGCTGTGACATACATAAGGGTCTAGAATCAAAACTAGTAAAAATCAAAACTAGTCTCCATGAAACGTACTCAGCAGACAAACTTTAAAGCACACATACACAACCAGAACTAAAGAATTTCTTGTATATGACCCCAATTTCTTTGAAGACAGGTGAGATTAAAGCTTGTCTACACTTGCAGGACATTCTCCAATATGCATTTAGTGATACAAGGAAGAATTACAAGCAGACTGTCAATTTAACTGGAAATGTATCTTACAGTACCTTGCCAGGGGAAAAGCATATGGCATTATGATCCTTACTTTATTATAAACAGGACCATTAATGGAGCATATTGCATTTTCTGACTATTGAACTATATTTATGACTATATAACAATCATAAAATCAATCTATAAACAAGCTACATGTAATGTAGTCGCAAACTGGTATGCATTAATCATCCAATTCCTTAATTATTTCACACAGTAGGCTATTTGGTGTCTGCTCTACAGTTCATTCTTTGACTACAGCGCCTCCCTGTGGCCAATACTGACCTACAGCGCACTAAATGTCATTCATTGAAAAAACAAAGTATTTTTCACTTTCACGTTTTAACTTTCCACATTCAGCTTTCACTTTAACAAAGCAGCCTACAATTTCAAATGATAAAGTTTTAGCCTATTTGAACCTAAAGCAACTAAGCTTTTTTAACCTTGAAATATCAGTTTTAACCTTTAATATCAATATCATCACAAGGCTATATTCAGTTGCTTTAAGCATAAATTTAAAATTTATTTTTTTTTTTTTTCTATTTTATTGTATATATATATA